ACGTGCTAGTTCTGCTTTCAAATCCATCTGCAAGTTTGTCAGCAGCATCAGGAAATAAGAACTTGAAGAAACAAAAAAAATCCAAACTTCCATCAGTAGGCTTTTCCTGCTTTTCCCACCTTCTCCATAAAGCTACTGCTGGTTACGTACCAGCAATCCCTGTAATTAAAACTGTTTGCAGAGTTCAGAGTTCATTTTCAGTCTACTTATATTGCAGAGACTCGTAACAACTTAGGCTGTTTCAAAAAGCTGATAAATGCAATTCAAATAACGGAACTCACGTCAGAGACCTTTATTTGTGATTCTAAACTATAAACTATAAACCAAATGCATCAGTGGAAGCACAAAATACAGGTTTTCATATTAATTTAATGTGCATGGACAGCTCACTTACCAGAAGAATAGTGTTTAGAACTTCATTGTTTAAAGGTGATTCATCTACACCTCTGTGTTTGCGAATTTTTTTCTTTGCACTGTGAACCATATTTGTGACTGATAATTTATGGATTGGGACTGGTGCTGGTTCAGTGAGCTTCGACAAAGCATGGGTAATATCAGCAACCTCTATAAAAACAAAATAAAAATAATTAGGACAAAACAAAACAAAAAACCCTGCAAGACCATCTCTCTTTAAAAAAGTTCACCTGTCATATTCAGCCCATTTATCTTGGATTGATTTTAACACCCTGTTACCGAAAGCTACACCCTGTGCTGTCAGATTCCATACCTGATACTCACTGTTCTTAGCCACAAAGATAAGCAGCAGAATGAGGCTGCAAAGGAGTCAGACTGTCCTTGATTTAATTTACTGAATGAAGTCTAGACTGAGTTGGCTGTAGATAGTGCCTGCCACCTACTGTAGTAGTACCGCATACTTGCAGAAAACTACAAGCAGAGTATCGGCAAAGTGCCTGCTGACAAGCCAGTGTTTAAATCTTGTTTATACATGAAATCAATTAATACGTTGTAGATAACAAAGACCGTTCAAGCCTATGCTAGAGCTTTAGATACACCTTAAATAAATCCAGTATTAATCTCCATATATATGACCCTACATGGTGTAAGCACGCTTCTGTTTTAGAGTCCTCAGATAAAAAGATTTTTTCCAGATCTGCTGCTAGTAAACTTTAGAACCTCTCTTACAATAAAATGAATTAACATTGCTAAAAAGAGAGCAGACAAATTTAAGTGAATAATTACCAGCAGCCTGGAAAAACACCTTGGCAAACACTGCAAAAAAATTAGAGACAAGGAGGGCTAAAGAAACTGTTTGTCAAGCACTAGGAGTAATACGTACCCTAGTTGGTCTAACACCTTTTTAAGCTAACTACCAATCCCCTTCAAAACTAACACCAAATATAATCAAAGAAAATCAATAGATACAGGCCATATTTGGAGGGAAAAAAGGTGACAAGAGGCAGGAAAGAAGGGAATGTTCACCACATACAGCAAGAAAAGCGAAAGAAAGGGACAGACATCAAAAAGATCTCAGTATCTGTACTGATGGGAAAAAGTCTGACATGTTGGTCAGATAATTTTGGTTTGTTTGGCTTTGAGGGAAGTTTTGTTGGTTTGTTTTCTATTTTTTACAGTTCTCTTCTCCATCCATTTGGAATAAATAGGCCCCTAAAATGAAAGGATGACAGCAGAGCCTCTCAAACATATTAAAGACTCTTTAAACTGTCTGTTAAAATATGCACTACATAGTACTTCACAAAGCAGAAAAAAAAGTGGAAAAAAGACAAAAATACCTAAAAAGATGTAGATAAACGCATGATGTTTGCTCAAAACTAACTCTTGTACACACTAGTCAAATTTTAAACTCTTGTTTTCCAGTGGAAAAAAAGAACAATAACAGAGGCAGTTGTCCTCTGGGAGCTAAGCTTGCCTAGAATTTATAAGAAATTATACCACGTAGCACTGACCAGAAAATTCCTAGGAGTATAACAGAAAATGCCTAAGAGTTACAAGTATAAGAAATGGATCGATCTGAAGTCAGGAAGAGGGGATAGGGAAGGTAAAATAACCTGAAACAATCAAAATCAAGTAACACAAATCCACAAGATTTTAGTTTTACCTTTTCCTTCCTCTTCAAATGCAGATCTTCCAAGTATCTCATCAGTTGACTCCTTCCGACGGCAAAGTTTGAAGAATTCAGTAAGAAAGTCACCTATAAGAGAAACAAAATTTCTGAACAACTACTCAATCTCATTGAAAAATAGGCTAATCCTCAAAGTGTTTCTTGAGGGACAATAAATTTTATCTTTTCATCTGAAAGAACATGATAATTTGTTCTGAAGCACAAATATCCTTAAACCACATTATAAAATCTTAGGAAAATGCACACCTAAACAGCCATCAGTCACCTCTCCAGAGCACAGTTCTTCACGCAGTTTACTCCACTTCTTCACTCAAAACAAGATGAAACTTCTTCAGCATGTTAGTATTTTTTTAGTTTTGAAGCCCGTTTCCCCACAAGCTAAAAGGCAAGGATGGACAACAATATAGCTCTCCAGGCGTACCAGTCCTGCCTGTCAGACAGATTAATTCAACCAAGGAAACGGATATATGCAGAGGTCACTTAAAAAAATTTAAAGATTCTAGGAAATCTGAATTTTCACAGAACACACACAGTAAATGCTTATTCTCTGGAACGTGGTGAAGTAAGAACAGCAATGACGTTCATGGTACACAGACACAGAACAACCTACAACAGAAACCTCTGTTTTTGCAAAGCTTGTGTTCTTGAAAAAGATGTCTAAAATATTGTCCACTCAAAAAAATAAAGGGAGTAAGGAAACAGAGGTCATCAAGTAATCAATAATTCAGTCCTAAATTCAACTGAATAGCTTAAAAGCCACAAGAGAAGATAGGGAATTGTGATGTCTTACCCAACAGACACTGAGGGTTATCTGCTTTTCTGACTCTCACAGACCACTGGGGTGCCTGAATAGGATCCAGGTCACTTTAAAAAAAAAAAAAACCACAAACAAATGCCATGCTGTCACCATAAGTATGCAAGAGATGAGTATCAAATTCTCAATAAATGGAATGTCATAGCCAGTTAGGCCATGGAAGCCATAACACACACCACATTCCACATGAGAACGTAACAAAGACTCTAAAATGCAAGCAAGAGTCCCTGTTCTCATGTAGGTACATAACATGAATAAGAAACACGCAGAGAACTATTCCATTCAACTAAATTGTCTCCTATTAATGTTGCAACTAATTTGTGCATTAACTAAAACAGTAACACACTTTCTTTTTTTCCTTTTTGAATTATCAGTATGTACCGTTCTTCCTCTTTACAAAGCTTACCAGAAAACTGGATGATGGTCTTTGGCAGAGGGATGTCACTCAGTTAATTCTTTTTTCCCCCCCCATGTTCCACTATCATCTTTCCCAAGAAAAGTGCAATACACAAAATTTTTAAGTCTAGCATGAGAATATGCCCAAAAACGGAGGTGTGTGTTCTGTTGTGATTACCATACAATAATATTTTCTCACACAGAAATGCATTTCAAAAGTGTTTTCCCAAATGGGATGTTCTATCAACTGACCTTAGCATTCCTCAAAATGGGTTCTCTTTCACACACAAAGCCATGCACAACATTTTAGACATCAGTAAAATGCAGTAGTTAACCAATAAAGTACACTTCTATTTGCAATTCAGACAAAATACTTACGAATAAACATCATTGTCGACAATTATACCTTCTGTTAGGTGAGGCCATGTGGTAGCTAAATGAAGCTCACTGGAACAAAAGATTTAAATCTTTCAGTGGTAGTAGAAAGTGTTCTCTCCATCATAGGTATTTGAAAGGTATTTGTCAGAGTTCAAATTTAAGTTCCTCTATGTATTTTGCAGCTACACTCAGAAATGTGCATATTTTCCAATTACTTTTCTCACTGCATATATTTTGTTCGTTATTCTACAGCACGTCACCCAGTATTGCATTAAACTTTACTAGTACCTGGCATACAGGACTCTCTCCCAACTCCTCACTACAAAAGGAGAAATTGTGCTTTGTATTCCAAGTATCCAGACACAGAGGAAAGAACAGCTTTCACGAATTGCCTAGAGCATTAAACACTAACACATTAAAATAATTCCTAGATTTGCTGGGTGGTGATGGGGTGTTCAGAAGAGAACCAGAGAGATTGTAATGACTCAGTTTACAGACCCTCTCTATTTAAGTCTTCTACAAATGTCAAAGATGAGAGCTGGCCCAAGCCTTGAAGGAAGGCACACTGTTCTTAAAGCTTATCTCCTGTTAAGGTATATTTCAACATATTTTCAGAGATAAATGGAGTGCTCCATAAGTTTATGGTGAAAGATTTATGAGCAATAACTCCGAATATCATTACACAATTTGCAAATGGTATTATTTGCTATTAGACCACTACTTTTCACAGATGTTTATTATGCACTTCAATAATTAAGTCACCTGTTAGGGACATACTAAGCGATACACAGTCAAAGCTAAGATTTGAAATAATATACCTTCAAGTCCTCCATTACAAAAGTTATAAAACACAGTGTTTTGAAGTCTTATCTTACCTAATAGGATCCTCACAGGCACCAAATGGTAACTTCCCAAACTCAAGGCCTCCAACTTCTCCCCCAACTAGAGCATCTATATCTGAAGACAGATTAATACATTTTCCATACAGAATTTATGGAATATTTTAAGAAGCATATCATCTAAACTTCACAGTAAGAAGACCATAGCACGTAGGATGACCAGAGAATAGCTGAACAGCTAAGGTGGCAGAGCTATGAAAATGCAGTTCTAGCGTATGGTCAAAATAATTGTTTCCAGCAGAAACTAGGAAGTAATCATGCAACTAGAAATTAAAAAAGACACATTAAATTCTTATCATTCATGTTGAGGGAATGTTATTCCCTTCATACAGGCAAAGATGATAGCTACAAAGGCAGCCTTAAAGAGTCAACGTTGCCACAAGAACAAATAGACACAAATTTGCCATAACAATATTTAGGCAGGAAATCAGTTCCAAGCAGAAAAGGGAGATTCCAGAAGAGCAACTCTGCAGAGTGAAAAAACAACTAATTTTAAAAGGTTGACAATTTTATTAAAAGTCATATGTTATGTCTCCTGTAGTTAAAGACTTAACCCAACAATCTGGGAAATTTCTTGCAATCCCAAGTACTTAAAGATGCCTCCCAGCGTCCTCAGCCACTTCCCATCTTATATCCTTCAAATATATAAACCAAAACCAGACAGCCTTCACTGAACAAAAATTTAAACATGTAATAATGTATTGTAATGCCATTATAACCATTATAATAATGTTATTACAGCATCTGATACATAATTTTAAATGCATCTGGTAAACTGTTTACATACAAAACAAGTGAGGTATTAGAACAGATATAACATTTGGATAGACACATTTAAATTATTTGATTTGAGAAGAGCTAATTGAGTGCCAGTAATAAAGTAAGGGTCTAGTTCTCCAAGGTGAACATAAAACCACAACTGCATGTAGCAACAGCAGTAAAAATTATGTTGTCCATCTCCAGTTTCTGCAATATGCTATGCCACTAGCTCCCATAACCAGAATCCTCTAAAAGAGTAAAATTAATTCAAACTGCTCAAATCAAGAGATGTGATCAGAGTGGTACAACTCATTCATCGCAAACCAGGGCTCCTGACTTAGTGAATAACTAGAGCAAGGCAGAGAGATTACAGAAAACATTGACTTCTGTGTCTGCAGAAATAATAAAATGTAAAATCTGTTCTACAGGTAAACTTGGCTTACCTACAAAGAGAAACTATCAGTTTAAAAAGCACTGATTCTCTCTGACCCTAAAGAACAGGATTCTCCTTAAACATATTTTCAACACTCCTTACATACAAAGCACACAGGATCAACTTCATTACAGACTTCTTCAAAACATACCTTTGATAACTCTAAGAATTATTTTTTTTAAGCAAAGGAAAGCCAAACAATTAGGTAACCAGACCCAGGTCACACAGGTTCTGTCCCTCTAAGTGTGCCCTAAATACTCTAACCTTGTTACATAAAACTACTACCAAGCCAAGAATAGGACTTGGGCATTTTAATTGTTCCACCGCCTTGCGCCTAAAATACCACATCAATAACTAATAAAAATGTATGCTAAGAAGGAACTAACACCTACCTTTTTTCTATAGATTTGTCTACCTTTGAGCCAAGAGAAGTTTATAATTTATTTTCTGATTCTACTTACATATAAATAGGTCTCTCAGAAACAAATCCTTGACACCCAAGGATGAAAGTATTACCATCCAGCAAACATACAAGAGTTCACTGTGAGCTTACCAAGTGAACAAACTCACTCCATTTTCCAAAATAGCATCACTATGGTACAAACTTATCGAGTCTAGTGGGTGTACCTTAGATTTAAGACTACATATTGCTTTCCCCCTTTCTCCCCTCATACAAGGCTACTATAATGAAACGCTTGATCAGAATTTTTTTCCTACATGAAATAAATGAACAAATCAACTGCTTGGCTTATTTAGCACAGAATAAACAACAACAAAAATCCAAAATTTTAAGCAAGATCCATGTCATACTTTCTCCTTTTCCCACTGTTAATACACTTAAACAATAAACAACAACAAAAATCCAAAATTTTACCTCAAGCAAGATCCATGTCATATTTTCTCATTTTCCCACTGTTAATACACTTAAATAGTGAAGCATTAAAATCGGTTACTTTATGAAAATTACTGACAAATACTCCTGTGAAGTATCAGCACTTACCCGAATCCAAAAGTTTCCCTATAGAATTCAGGGCTGGATTCTTTACAGATCCACAGTCAGTCACTCTTTTCTCTCCAAAACAGATACTGCCATTTTAGAAATATCACTATATCTCTAAACACTAATAAAAAAGCATATTTCTAGGCACAGCTCTAACCAAAACACCTGTCACAACCATAACCCACAGACATGATATCAGAGCAGCTTTAAGCTTGCTAGGGAGTGGGATGGTATTCAGCTGTAATTGAACTAGATGACCTTTAAGACCCCTTCCAAACCATTCTGTGAAGCCTCTCCTAGTAACGCAGAAAGTGTGTTAATTCTTCTGGCAAGATACACAAACATTTTCTTTAGCATTGAATGTTGATCTTAAGTTATTCTGAGGACACAAATCTCCTACCTGGAGGTTGCTGTGGCCAGAAATACTGCTGCCAGTCTTGAAGAACATACGTAAGCCGAATAGCCATGTTAACCGGAGGCAGTGGTGTTAAAGGGCATCCCTTGAAAATATTAGAGAAAAAAATGAATGTAAAGAGTACATGCTCTCAAACACCCCAGGCCTTGAACATAACTTGGTTACGATAGCTTGCATTGGAGCTAACTTTATCAGAACCTCAACACTTCAAGTATTACTAGTAAAGCCATTGGTCAAAAAGCCACTGACAGGTAAAAGTAAGCACATAAGCTTTTTAAAATGCACGAGACTTTCATATGCTCCATTTAGGTGGTAATTCAGAATTAACTCTGACCCAGAATGCGTTAAGTTTTCATTAAGGATTTTTTCCTTTGCATTTTGGCGAGATTGCTGACTGAAGTGTTGCAGTCAGCCAGACCACTCCAGAAACAAGTGGTCTCACACAGACTCCTCACATGTCATCAGGTTGTTCTTCACTCTTAACTTTGCTATAGGGAGCTACAAAGTATCAGAATAAAACCCACTCCAACCCTCCTTTCTCCTTTTAAATAGCAAAATAGAGTTTGTTTTGGGGAGGGGGAAGAGAGAATTGTTACAAGGAGACTGTAAAACAGACACATTCTTTCACACGCCAGTGGAAAATAAAAATAAAAAGAAGGTGCTAACACTGAGGAACAAAAACATACCAATTTTCACTCCTTATTGATAGATACTGGTGATATCCAGAAAAAGACTTTGTTGGTATCAGCACTGTAAGCCTCATCCTTACCAAAAAAAAAAAAAAGTCCCTACAAGATAGAAGTGAATCTACAAGCAACAAGATAATACAATTATTACTATCAGCTATATACATTCAGATGCACTTACAATCTTGGATTTGAAGATATCTAGTAATCCTGATAAATGAGTATACTGATTTGGCACTTTGCGAAGATGAACCATTTCGAAGTCAGTTCGAACTCCTGGACCCTGACATTCTCCAACATACATTCGTCTCCATTTATGATGTATTTGCACAAACAATGGTACCTGACTATAAAACATGAATATTTCAGATTATTTAAAGTGTTATGCTGTATTGCAGTCTTTAAAACTAGCTAAATATTTTAACATGTTCTTCAGAATACATTTTCTCTTAGTGGAACACAGTTTAAAATGCTGAATAGGAGTCACAGAAAAATACTGTTAACTTCACCATTAAATGGAACGCCTAACATTGCCATGTCATAACCATGGCTCTATCCACGACTTCAGTCACCTAATTTTTAGTCTAAATATTTTTGAGGAATATTAGAAAGTTGCTGTTACCACACACAGGGAAGATATCCCCTTCCAAAAGTTATGCTTTGTACACCACTTATTCCAACAACTTCTATCAGCTTTTAAAAGCCTTTGAGGTTTTTAAACAATAATGAATACAAACAACACACTGAATCCATCTTTTTAAAGTTTCCATGAGAAATGGAATCCTTCTGTAACAATACTATGGTGCAAATACAATAAACTCCGAATGGATTTTGCTAACAATTTCATACTTTCTCCTCACAATAGCAGTATGCTAGAGTTTCACCTGGACATGTTGAAAGGTTTATGCCTTCACCTACCAGCCAGTGTTCCCCAATGCAATGGAAACGGAACTCAGCAAAAGGTTACATTTCGATTCACTAAGAACTGCATCATTATTTGCAGCTGGAGCAATAACCACAAACTCACGTAAGCCATACCTTAAGAGAGAGAGAGAGAAAAAAGAACACATTCCTGTTTTTTCAGCAAATCAGATGAAACACAGAATTTTTAGAAATATTGTAACCTGAATAACCTAATTGTCACTAACAGACTGTGGAATCTGTTATTTTCACATGAGTACCTCTTTCAGAGAGGCCAAGAACTGAGTGGGCATGGAGTGCTGCAGATTCTCAAATCACAAACTACCAGAGCTTAACAGCATTCAAACACTGTACTCGAAATAATGTGAGGACTTCCAGGTCTATCGGTCCTGAGTTTTTTTACTTTATATTACTAACAACTGTAGCTATTCATACATAAAAACAATCTCTCTAGAACAATGTTGTAACATGCTAAAAATCTGCATTTCTAAGAATTTGGCTGCTGTTGTTTCTTACAGTGCTGAAGCTTTCCTAAGAATACATCCAAATATTAGAAACATAAAAGCCTGGTTAGTACACAAAACTCAGAAAAAAAATATTTTTTTTGGGAAAAAAAAAAAAAGTAAATATAAGCCCACTATGGTGGGCTTTTTTTGCACTCCTTTCTGTGTCCAGTACAAAGAATCATTTTACGTAAGCTTTTACTCTTGATGGGAAAAAAAAATACAAGTGATCGAGTCAGCATCAAAGATTTTTCAATTTTTTTGCTTATTTATATTAAAGATGAGAGGCAGCATACATACCATCTTACCAGACAGTGAGCTCTAGGTGGAAAGTCATTGTTCACGCACAGCAAGTCCTGCATAGGCAGAGGAAGGGCATCTATGGAAAAAATTGATACATAAGAAGAGCATCAGCATCTGTTCAGCTGACTTACAATTTAGCTATATTATTAATCTGTTGAATATAAAGCATACTAAAAGCAGAAATGTCAGATCACCTCCATCAGATCCCAGAAAATTTCACACTGAAGCAAATCAATGCACTGTGAATTCCACTTTCTGAAATTGTATTTTATTATATCCTTACAGCTAAGGGTTAAGAGAACTATCAGTTACCTTCTACCAGTTCTTCTTTCCCATCTTTGTCATTGGGTTCTTGTACAAGCCAATGATGGGTAACTGAGAATCTGAAGTCTGCAAATGAAATTTCATCTGATTTCTCTTCCCATGTTCCTGTGGTATATACACCCTGCATATAAAAAAATATATTATTTGATCACATAAATTTAGGTTAATATTCCCCATGTTCCTGTGGTATATACACCCTGCACATATCACATAAATTTAGGTTAATATTTGTAAGCTTTAAAAAGTATACTGCCTACACAATCTATAACATTTATTAATCTTTTCCTACTGCTAAATATATATTAAATCGCTAAGCAAAGTTTAATTTCAAAAAAATTCTTTTCCTACTGCTAAATATATATTAAATTGCTAAGCACAGTTTAATTTCAAAAAAACGACCCAATTCTCAAAGCACTTAATTATAAAGGTAGCTGAATGCTAAAATTCATGTTGCCATTAATCACGTTCATTTCAAGGACCAGATATCCCCATGAGAAGTCTTCAGAATTATATGGCAATAAAGAGGCAGATATATCCATATGCAACTCTGCATCTTGACTGTATGCACCTTCAATTTTGCCCAAAGGCAGAAGTTTCTCACTTGGGATTTTATCTATATCCATACCATTCTATGCAAATACTACTTTAATATTTACTTTGAATATGCTTTCACTGATAAAAGATTTTGTAGCTATAATTTAAAAAACTTCTGTGTGCAAGGGTAATTAATTTTTAAACAAAAATACAGCACAGGAAAGTTTCTAGGGAAAAATAAAAACATCACCATACTGCTGTATGCTGCTACTAAAACAAAGCACCTTGGCCAACCCTCACTAGAAATCAAGAAGAGAGGTCTGGTCCAGAAAAGATGTAGCAATACACTGGTAGCTAAGGCTGAAAAATAGTTAACTAGATAATGTAAGATTTTGTTCTGAATACTCTGTACCCCAAATAGACTAAGAATCATAAAATCCCTCTGGAAACACAGCAGCCATTCAATCCAGAACAGCTGAATTTATTTGTGCTAGTATGCAGAGGAGCTCAGCATTTCCTCTGCATTTTACAGGATGGAGAAAGCACTACAATGGCCCTAATTAGACTTTGCAAAAAATCTCTCTGATTTATGAAACATACTGAGTCACAAGTATAACTACACAACCCTCAACCATAAGTACGTGAGGCACAACAAAGGCACAAGGCAGTGCAAGAACAAACTCCTTAAGAATTTAGAACACCTACAACCATGTTTCCAGAGTCAAAAAAATCACTAGGCCCTATATGAAGATCCAGCTTTACCAGAGAAACAGCCTGTTCGGCAGACAGCCCACCAAAAACTCTGCAGCAACTGTTTGTCAAACCACCACTTCTGCAAGCAAAATTCTCCAATACAAATCCTCATCTGCCACATCGAAGAAAATGGCAATACACGTAAACACATACATGTGTATTACTAGCTCATAATACTAGAAGAAAATTCTGAAACAGTAACTGACCTTTTCTAGAGGTTTCCCTGAAGAAATCCCAATAAGCTTCCAGTCATTCAATACTTCTTCTATTTTCGAAATAAATCTATTAGGGAGAGGAAAAGGCATTAATATTTGCTGAACACTAAGCTTGTCCTACAATTTGGCTTCCTAAAAGCAGGCAATATGTTGTCCCACTATGAAATTCCTTAAAAAAAAAAATAAAACCAAACCAACAAAAACTCCTAAGAGCATTGTTCACAGGTAAATAAGCATTTGACACAAAATTACAAACTAAATTCAGATTTAAAATGCAGGGCTTAGATCTGTCTCCTGTCACAGACATCGTCACTGGAAAAAAAGCATTTTAAAAAAATACATTAAGAATACAAGAGCATTCATCACCTTAAGTTTCTTGTACATGGTTCTACTAGCTTCCAAAGGCTTGAGCTAGGAGGTGACTATTTCAATACCCAGGCAGCTATTTTAAAAACACACAAGCCTTCTAGACGTTTATTCTAATCCCTTGCAAACAGACATTACACCAGACCTTCCACTAAGTTCGCAAACAGCCCGCCCAGATCCTCTT